CCGGAAGTTGGAACTTGCTGTGGGCCGAGATCGCGCCACTGCACTCCAGCCTGGGCAACAGGCATGAAACTCTGTCTCAGAAGGAAAAAAAAAAGACATTCCAGGGTGCCTTGGCCTCACAAAGGGCATGAAACTTGTTTCGGGTGACTCAGAGAAAATTTGATCAGGTAATGGAAACAAAGGGAAGTCCTCTTCTTTGGGACAGAAATAGTGCAGTGGTTAAGAGTGTGGACCTGAGGATCAGGTTTCTGAGGCTGGAATAGAGCAATTAAAGTCAAGCCATTAAAGATGATTAAAATTTCAAGTGAGGCTTTTTTTTCTTTTAATGAAAAATAAAGCTATAAATTATAAAAATAACATTTCATCTCATCCAGTAGAACATAGATTATAATTGTAACTATGCGCTCATTCTTAGCATGAATAAAAATAAATCTCATGTGGATTTTTTGGCATAATCTTTAAACTAAAATTATATGATAGCATGGTACAACAGCCTTCACTTTGTCGATGATTTTCTAGCAGAAAGTCCTTGGCAAACATTAGAGTGCATCATTCATTTTTCCAAGGATGTCTCATGATTTTTCAGCATTTAAATCATTGGTTTTGTTTTGAAACCCACACCCTGTTATCATCCTTGTTGATTTCTTTTCTCTAAAAGTGAACCATTTTACCTAGTTGGTTAATTTTTTTTTTCATGCATTTCTAGCAATACTTCAATATTTTTATCAATTTCCTGGACTTCCACATCTTTTGAAGTAACTGCAAAGGTAATTTGTAATCAATTTGCATTGCATTGTTTTTTTTCTCTCTTTCTTTTTTTAATTTTTGAGACAGAGGTTCACTCTTGTTGCCCAGGCTGGAGTGAAATGGCACAATTTTGGCTCACTGCAACCTCCACCTCCTGGGTTCAAGCAAGTCTCCTGCCTCAGTCTCCCAGGCAGCTGAGATTACAGGCATGCACCACCACACCCAGCTAATTTCTTATTTTTAGTAGAGATGGGGTTTCACCATGTTGGTCAGGCTGGTCTTGAACTCCTAACCTCAGGTGATCCATCCGCCTCAGCCTCCAAAAGTGCTGGGATTACAGGCACGAGCCACTGTGCCTGGCCTGTTTTGTTTTTCTGCTTTTTATTTTGAAATAGTTTTAGACTTACAGAAACCTGCAAAAACAATAGAGTTCCTGTATACCCTTTTCCCAGATGCCCCAAATGGTAACAATTTTCATAACCAGAGAACAATGATCAAGATTAGTACATCAACACTAGAATAGATAGATAGATAGATAGATAGATAGATAGAAGATAGATAGATGATAGATAGATAGATGGAAGATAGATAGATAGATAGATAGATAGATAGATAGATAGATAACAGATTTTTTTAAAAAAAACAGGGTCTTACTCCATTGCCCAGCCTGATGTGCAGTGGCACAATCTCGGCTCACCACCTCCCAGGCTCAGGCAATTCCCCCACATCAGCCACACGTCACCATGCCTGAATAATTTTTTGTATTTTTTTGTAGAGATGATTCTCATTATATTGCACAGGCTGGCCTCGAACTGCTGGCCTCAAGCAATCTTCCTGTCTTCACCTCCCAAAGTGCTAGGATTACAGGCATGAGCCACTGCGCCTGGCCACTGGTACATAATTTTTAACTGAACAACAGGCCTTATTCGAATCACACCCCTTGTGACACTAATATGATTTTCTGTTTCAAGATCCAATCCAGGTCCCAGCTGTGTTGAGTTGTTGTGTCTCCTTTGTCTCTCTCAATCTGTGACAGGTCCCAGGCTTTCCTTATCCTTCATGACTTTGGCATTTTGGAAGACTATGGGCCAGTTATTTTGTATACTATCTCTCCATGTGGGTATTTCTGACATGTTCCCATGACTAGATTGGGGTTACAGATTTTTTGTAAGACCACAGAAGTGATGTTGTGTCCTCCTCTGCACATGCTGTCTGGAGGCACCCAGTGTTGCTACATTTTACCACCAACGGTGGTAACTGTCAGCTGGGTTTCTCCACTGTAAAGTTACTGTTTTTCTCCTTGTTATTAATGAATATCTTTTTTTTTTTTTTTTTTGAGATGGAGTCTTGCTCTGTTGCCCAGACTGCGGTGCAGTGGCATGATCTCAGCTCACTGCAACCTCTGCCTCCTAGGTTCAAGCAATTCTCCTGCTTTAGCCTCCCAAGTAGCTGGGACTACAGGTGCCTGTCACCATGACCAGCGAATTTTTTGTATTTTTAACATCACCGTGTTAGCCAGGATGATCTCAATCTCCTGACCTCGGATCTCCTGACCTCACGATCCACCCGCCTCAGCCTCCCAAAGTGCTGGGATTACAGGTGTGAGCCACCACACCTGGCCAATTAATGAATATCTTGAGAGAGTTACTTTGAGAGTATAAAGTACGCAAGTATCCTATTTTTTCTTAAATTTTCATTCTCTAATAAATAAATGTTAAAGAAATGAGGGCAATGGAAAATCACCACTTGCCAAACACCACAGTAATAATTGTTGCATGTGATGTGCAGGTGGCTCTTGCATGCAGCACTTATTACCATGGTGTTTGGCAAAAGGTGACTTTCCATTTCCCTCATTCCTTCTACATTTGTTTTGTTGTTGTTAGTTTTGTTCTGGTTAGAGACAGGGTGTCATTCTGTCACTCAGGCTGGAGTACAGTGGCATAATCATAGCTTACTGCAGCCTCAAACTTCTGGGCTCAAGTGATCCTCCCATCTCAGCCTCCCAAGTAGCTAAGACTACAGGTGGGTGCCACCACCTGGCTAATTTTTCTTTTTTTCTAGAGACAGGCTATGTTGTTCAGGCTAGAATCGAACTGGGCTCAAACAATCTTCTTGCCTTGGCCTACCAAGGCAAGTGGCCTGCTGGGATTTCATAGGTGTGAACCAGCATGTCCAGCCTTCTACATATGTTCATTGAAATTTGGATTTTGAAGACTTGGTACAAAAAATGAATGTAAAATAGCTTATTAATAATTTTATATTGATTGCATATTGAAATGCCAGTTTTTAAGATGTATTTGGTTAAGCAAAATATGTTACTAAAATTAATGATCATGCCACTGCACGCTAGCCTGGCCAATGAAGCCAGATCCTGTCTCAAAAAAAAAAATTAGGCCAGGCATGATGGCTCACACCTGTAATCCCAGCACTTTGGGAGACCAAGGTGGGCAGATCGTGAGGTCAAAAGATTGAGACCATCCTGGCCAACATGGTAAAACCCTGTCTCTACCAAAATTACAAAAATTGGCTGGGCATGGTGGCAGATGCCTGTAGTCCCAGCTACTCAGGAAGCTGAGGCAGGAGAATTGCTTGAACCTGGGAGGCGGAGGTTTTAGTGAGTTGAGATCACGCCACTGTACTCCAGTCTCGCGACCGTGAGACTCCATCTCAAAAAATAAAAAAAAATTTAGCTTTCCTTGTTTCTTTTTACTGTTTATAATCTGGCTACTAGAAAGCTCAGAATTACATCTGTAGCCCACATTTGTGGCTCACATTCTATTTGTATAGGACAACACTGTTCTAAGGACTCAGTAAACTCTTGTGCCACTTCATAGGATTATTGTGAGAATTAAATTTGAATCTTATATAAAATATTTGGCATGGTGCCTAGCACATAATAACTGCTCAATGAAAGTTAGCAATTAGTACTAAGATACGAAAGGACAGCCACTCTTAAGAACTCTTGACCGTTCTCAGGGGAACCAAAGTGTTTTCATTAAGAATATCAGGTGATCAGGATTACCTTAAGAGGAGGATTGCTGAAGACTCTGAGCTCCTCCTCAGACCTGGAGGCTTTGTGTCATAGTTGAAAGCCAGTGGATGGCTGGACGCAGTGGCTCATCCCTGTAATCCCAGCACTTTGGGAGCCCGAGGTTTGAGGATCACTTGAGGCCAGGAATTCGAGACCAGTCTGGCCATCATGACAAAACCCTGTCTCTACTGAAAAATACAAAAATTAGCTGGGCATGGTGGCCAACACCTGTAATCTCAGCTGAGACTGAGGCAGGATAATCACTTGAACCCAGGAGGCAGAGGTTGCAGTGAGCCAAAAGGGCACCACTGCACTCCAGCCTAGAGAACAGAGTGAGACTCTGTCCCGAAAAAAAAAAAAAAGGAAAGCCAGAGGAGAAAAAACAAAACTTGCTTATAGAAAGCTAGGTGGGTCATCGATTTAAAATGGGAAATTGAAGAAGAGGATAGAGGGAAGAGCACACAGTAACACAGCCTGTCAGGAGGGCAAAGATGCATTTGCCTCATGGGACTGATGCCTAAGTGAAAAGACCTTTGTGTTGGATGGATGGGGAATCACGCTAGGCTTTCAGTTAGCAGTGATGGATGTCTGCTTAAAAGGCCTCTCTTTATTCTGCATCAGGCCTACAGGTAAGGCCACCTGGTGCTTTACCTTATTCTTTGGGCATAACCGATTAGCTGCCAGGCTGAGGCCAGGGACCAGAATGTGCTTTTCCAATTATCAGTATCCAGTATATTCTTTTCCTGATGACAGCTAAGACACAAGCCCAATTCCCTTGATCTAACAATTGGCAGTGCTAGTACAGAGGATCTGTTATTTCATCCCAGAAGTTATTTGGGCTACAGCCAAAAAATTTGAAAAAACTATGGACTGATCAACATTCCAGATAAGTCTGTCTAAAGATACATGAATAATTACTAAAATTACTATGTTACTGAATGACTTACACAGTCTTTAGCACATACTAGGCATGTTCACAGTGCTTTCCTTATAATAAGTCATTTAATCTTCATGTCAACTCCATGAAGTAGACATGATCATCATTCCTATTTTACGGATAAGAACACAGAGGCACAGAGAGGTTACATAACTTTTCCAAGATCACACAGCTAGTTGGTAGCAGACAGGAGTCAAACCCAGGTTGTCTGGCTTTAGAGTCCATGCCCTTAACTCCAACTCATACTGCCTCTGTATGTGACTTACCTCCTTCCTAATAAAGGAGATAAATCATTAGTTTTGCATTTGGGATTCTTAAATTGAGGCTTATGGAGATTTTGGCTCACCTTAATGGGTGATTGCCTACCTTTCTGCCAATGGGTAGAACTCCACTTTTTCAGAGAGGGAAATTGAGATGCAGAATGAAGTGTCAGGTTCTGTGATTTGCTTGAAGCCTTAGACAGTTGCTTTTAAGGCAGAGAATTGATTCATTGAAAGGATAGAGGACCTTCCACCCTGGCTGTCCTTGGCTCTAAAGAGTGAATCGGTTCAGCTGAGTGGATATGTCTCTCTCTAGTTCTTTGGTTGTCTGAGTTTTGTGTATTATCATTTGCTAAAGATATGGCAATGTGCTCTTTGCTTGGGTTTGCAGCTAGGAGACCTGTGTGTGTTTTCCCACTTCCCCCAGGAATGCGGCCAAAAAAAGCAATGACATCCAGGAGCCATCTGGGAATGCTTCCCAGACCTGCTCTAAATTGGGGCACAGAGCCAGCTGCACACTCCCGAGCTTCAGAGTTCACCTGGATTAGATTCACTGCAGAGGGGCTGTCATCAAGAATGATTTTTCTGGGGTCCCAGCTGTCCAGCTTTTGGTGGGTGATCCTCTTGGAGGGAAGTAGCCGTGATGTAGCTCTGAGCTCCGTGGGTAGGGGGCAGAGATGAGGAGCAGCTCTGCCTTTGCCACTGCCAGCCTCTGGAAGTGTGGGCACATGCCCGACTCAGATTGCTTCCAGACTCATTTGGCCTACTGAGAAGTGGGGAATAATGGCACCTAAGCTCATGTGACGTTAGCCAAGCTTGCAGACATACTCAAACTACCGGAGAGATCTACAGAAGCAGCAAGAACCCCTTGAAATATTTTCATTATGTTTATTTAAGCGATGGAATCGTATGAGTCAGACTGAACACTCAAGCAGGGATAGGATCATCAAGGAGAGTTTAATTGGCAAAGGTGTGGACAAGTTAAGAGAAGCCAAAACAATAACAAAGCCTGCCACATCTAGCGACGGCAGAAGCTGTAACTACCACAGGCTAGCACCAGCAAGAGGAGGAGTCCCTCCAGACAGAGGGCCCGTGAGAGTGGCAGGCTAAAGAGCCCCCTGGTAGGAGCTATGACCTTAGGTAGTGGGGCATGGCTGTCAACCTGCAGCCCAGGGGAGGGCAGGGGTAGGGGAGGATTCATATTTGCCCCTTGCTCTCCTTCCTCCAGTCTCTGGCCGGTGGTACCCATTGGTCAAACCCAACCAGAAGACAGAAGTCAAAGAAACATAACAGGAGGTCAGCCTCCTGGGGCATAGGGCAGGGTAGAAAATAGAGGGCTAGCAGAAACCATTCCACAGAAGAGCCATGCATTATGAGGATTTTAGGCTCCTGGGCTTGGATACTTTTTTTTAAGATCTCACATTATGAAAAGCCAGTTATGGCTTTTATACATGGCCAAAGAGAAGAAATCAATTGAAGAACAATTTCTACTTCTTGTTACAAGAATAAAATACGTTATTGGTCCTTTTGCCAAATCAAGAAATCCAGAAGTAATTCAAAGTCAGGGCTTCATCATCATCACCGTCATTAAAAATATAAATATTCTCTACTTTTGTCGGGACTAAGCAATTAACTAAATGGAATGTGTATATTTCCTCCCATTACCCTCACCACAACCCTATAATGTTATTGCCAGTCATCCATTTATTCAGTAACTATTTTCTGACTATCTGTCCTGTGCCAGGCTCTGTGTCAGGTACTGAAGATCATTTTTCTGAATCAGATGAACAAAGATTTTTCTATCATGAAGTCTTCAGTCTCACCACACAAGCAAGTATGAAACAAATGTTTTCAAAAAATTAAGAGCATTTGAGATGAGAGCTTTAAAATAAAAGTGGAAGCCAGGGGTGGTGACTCTCGCCTGTAATCTCAGCACTTTGGGAGGCCAAGATGGGTGGATCACTGGAGCCCAGGAGTTCGAGACCTGCCTGGGCAACATGGTGAAAGCCCTGTCTCTACAAAAAATGCAAAAATTAGCCAAGTGTGATGGTGTGTGCCTGTAGTCCCAGCAACTTGGAAGGCTGAGGTGGGAGGATCGCTTGAGCCCAGCAGGCCAAGGTTGCAGTGAGCCATGATCATGCCACTGCACTCCAGCCTAGACAACAGAGCATGACCTTATCTCTAAATAAATCAGTAATAAAACGGAACACCTCAGGCAGTGGCTCATACCTGTAATCTCACTACTTTAGGAGGCTGAGGCGAGGATTGCTTAAGCCCAAGAGTTCAAGACCAGCCTGGATGACACAGTGAGACTCTGTCTCTATGAAAAAAAATTTCAAAAGAAATTAATCGGGTGTGATGATGTGTGTCTGCAGTTCTAGCTACTCGGGATAATGAGTCAGGGGAATCCCTTGAGCCCAGGAGTTCAAGGCTGCAGTGAGCTATGACTGTGCCACTGCACTCCAGCCTAAGACCCTGCCTATAAAATAAATAAACAAATAAAACTAAATGAAAGTAAGTAGTGTTCTGAAACAGGGCACCTGACCTAAACTGGGAGAAAGAGAAGGCTCCCTGGAGGAAATGAGGTTTACGCAAAGTCCTAAAGACTAAGTAGGAATTGGACAAGTCGAAAAAGGAAAAAGAGCCTCCAAGGCAAACAAAACAAAGTATTCCCAGTTCTGCGGCTTGGAAGAGCAGAGAGCATTGGAGAAATGGAAAGGCAGACAGCGCGGTTGGACTTGGCGCTGGAGGCGTACACAAGGTGAGGGTGGAGAAGTGGACGGGCTAATCACGTGGAGCCTCACAGGCTGGGCTAGGGATGCTGCATTTTATCCCAAGCATGATGTTTGTGCTCCTACGCGTTTCCAAGGATGGTGATAAGACGTTTTAAAAAGATGCCTGAGAACAGAGTACAAGGTTTGGTGCAGGATGCATTCAGGAGGTTTTTGCACCTTTTCCTGTAAAAGAACAGCTAGTAAATATTTTCAGCTTTATAGGCCTCACGGACTCTGTTGCAACTACTCAGCTGTGCTCCTACAGTGCATGCAGCCATGGACAGTCCATAAATGAATGAGCACAGCTGTATTCCAATAAAACTTGTTTGCTGCCTGGCCATGCTGGCTCACACCTGTAATCTAGCACTTTGGGAGGCCAAGGTGGGCCGATCACCTGAGGTCAGGAGTTTGAGACCAGCCTGGCCAACATAGTGAAAAGCCATCTCTACTAAAAATACAAAAATTAGCTGGGGTTGGTGGCCCGCACCTGTAATCCCAACTACACGGGAGGCTGAGGCAGGAGAATCTCTGGAACCCAGGTTGCAGAGGCTGCAGTGAGCCGAGATCGCATCAGTGCACTCCAGTCTGGGTGACAGAGCAAGACTCCATCTCAAAAACAAAAAAACAAACAAACAAACCCCAACAACTTGTTTCCTGAAAAAAAAAAGCTTTGTTTAGAAATAAAAATTAAAGAAAAAAACTTGTATTTACAGCAGAGTTTCACTATCTCAAAAAAAAAAAAAAAAGGAGGTGGGAGCTTATTCAGGGAAGACCTACTAACCTGAAGTTGGGAAGTTAAGGAGCTCCTATCTGAATTTTTTGTTGTTGTTGAGATGGAGTCTTGCTCTGTCACCCAGGCTGGAGGGCAATGGCATGATCTCAGCTCACTGCAACCTCCACATCCTGGGTTCAAGCAATTCTCCTGCCTCAGCCTCCTGAGTAGCTGGGATTACAGTCACGTGTCACCATGCCTGGCTAATTTTTGTATTTTTAAAATGTTTATAATAAATCTCTTGATTGCAGACATGTATGGTTGTTTGGTAGAATTCAGAAACATTGCAGTAATGGCAGTTTTTTCAATTGGTGTGAAGTCCTCAATAATTATATATGAAATTGCTGTCAAACCAGTAAGACTGCATTTATGCATCCATCATTTTCAGGATTGTTCGTAACCTGGGCATATTTTCCCCAAATAACTTTGCCTCCTTGCGTCACAAGGCCCAATTCGCTCACATTTACCTCAATGACAGTACCATTGGTAATAACACCCAAAATCGTATACGATGGGGATGAGGGATTCTTCTTTACACCAAGCATTGGTAGGCAAAAGGTGGCTTTCAGTTCAGGATGTGTCACATGGGCTTTCTTGAAACGCAAGCCCAGTGGCCAAATGAATCTTTCTTTCTTTCTTTTTTTTTTTTTTTTTTTAGACAGAGTTTCGCTCCTTACCCAGGCTGGAGTGCAATGGCGCGATCTCGGCTCACCGCAACCCAACCTCCGCCTCCTGGGTTCAGGCAATTCTCCTGCCTCAGCCTCCTGAGTAGCTGGGATTACAGGCACGCGCCACCATGCCCAGCTCATTTTTTGTAGTTTTAGTAGAGACGGGGTTTCACCATGTTGACCAGGATGGTCTCGATCTGTTGACGTCGTGATCCACCCGCCTCGGCCTCCCAAAGCGCTGGGATTACAGGCGTGAGCCACCGCGCCCGGCGAATCTTTCATATTTAGGTGGTTTTCTTGTAAAGCCGTCTCCAACAAAGCAGACTTTAGTAACCATCCTCTTTCATGCCTTCTTCTTTATCTTTCCTATTCGGATAGCTTTTAATACTTCTGTTTCTCCCTGGGCACAGACTTTAGGCAGAGGGACTTCCCGTGTTCCTGCCTTCTCTTTTCGTTTCTGTTTAATCATATTGGAAAGTACTTTAGCTCAAGATCGTCCCTCTCTGTTCAGCAGAGAGGCAGGTCCTGCTCCCTGTGGAGTCTTCTCATTCTTTTGTTTGGTGTTTATCTTTTCATGTATCTTGATAGTCTTTTTCATTTGTATTTTCTCAGCCTGGCGCTGTTTATGGTAAAGCTTAGCCTTCAGACCAATCATTTTCTTTGCTTTCTTTGAACGTTCATGAGCCTCTCGACTTTCCTTCTTTCTCTTTTCCTCATCGTAATCCAAATGGTATCCATAGCGTTTACAGTGTAATTCAATATATTCGTTCTGTGGCATGGTGACGGCCACAGAGCCACCAGGAGCGGCCCCTGGGGTGCGAAAACGCTCTAAATTTTCAGATCTCAGAGACCCACAAGCCAACACCACGCAGGCTGTGACAGGAAAGGTAATTTTGTATTTTTAGTAGAGATGGGGTTTCACCATGGTGGCCAGGCTGGTCTTGAACTCCTGACCTCATGATCTCCCCGCCTTGGTCTCCCAAAGTGCTGGGATTACAGGCATGAGCCACTGTGACCGGCCTTATCTGGGAATTTTAAAATAAGGTCATTTTCAAATAAGAAGAGGGTAAGAAAAATGTAATACAAGAGGAGTCAGAAATTTGACATTGTGCAAAGCTTTGAAATATTTATTGTATACATGGGAGAATGGGTTGATTAGGGAAACAGTTGCTGGACAACCAGGGCAACCAGGAATTCACCATCTACCCAGGTACATATTTTTTTCCATCAGTGCTTTAACTTCAAGGTACAAGCCCAGGGAGGTTAGGTTTCATCCTGGATTGCAGTTCTCCAAGTAGATGCAATCAAGGCACAAGAGAATTTAGAAAAGAAAGTGAGGGAAATGGTAGGCCATGGAATATACGGGGATGGGAGTCCCTACACCACTCCTGACCTTAAGTTGTAAGGTAATGTATGTTGTGATCAAATAAACGGACTAACTAGAGAGAGCTGCAGGGGACGCCACGTCTTCATTGGAGGTTGAAGATCTAGAGATGGGAAGGAAGAGGAAATGGGATACTTGTTAATTACGGAGAGGGAGTGCTAGCTGGCACAAGGGTTTGGGAGGCAGTGTGGGAGAGGAGACTGCATCAAGGTCAAGGCAGAGCATTATGGAGATGAGAACAAAGCAGGTGATGCAGAAGCAAAGGCGTGTAGCAGGCATGGACCAACAAAAACATCGCCAGTGTCTCTTGGAGGCTGCTGAGCACCCCGCCTTCCAGTGCTCCGTCGAGGTGTAGAAATTAGAAAGTATGTATCCAGTGCTGCCAGACGTGCCTCTGCTCATCGTCTGTGCAGTGTTGACAGCTGCGTGTTGCTTGGTGGCTTGTTTGTGGTCATTCGTGTGGGAAGGAGGGAGGTGGGCAGGGCAGGCAGCCGCAGCATGGCATCATGGGGTTCTGTGTCTGGATGCAGCCTGCCCAAGGTCAAGCCCACAGTCATTGGCAAAGCCCAGGCTGATCTCTAACACTTGTGCTGTTAGTCGCTATTGCTACACTCCCCTCTGCTGATCAGCGCCCAGACCTTCCAGGATGTCTTCTGCATTCTAAGTGCTCTGTCAGAGAACCAGGGCCAGGGATAGGGTGACGCAAGAGAGGAAGCTAGGGACAAACTGAAGGACAGTGTGATGGAAGGAATGAGTTCTAGCATTTGACAGCAGAGTAGAGAAATTATAGTTAACAATTATTTATTGTATATTTCAAAATAGCTACAATGATTATATTGTCCTCAACACAAAGAAAAGAGAAATGTTTGAGGTGATCAATATCCCATTTAACCCAATCTGATCATTACACATTGCATACAGGTATAAAAATATGACGTGTACCCCCCAAGTATGTACAATTATGATATATCAATTTTTAAAAATGTAAGAAGGTACTCATTCCCAGTGGTGTGCACCCACTCTCAGGGCTGACCTTGAAAGTGGGGTCCCCCTTAAATTTTATGCACTAGCACTTCCCTTGCCTTGCCCTGGTTCTGACCCAGCCAAGAATTGTAATAGGAAGTGGTGTCTATAGGACAATTCACTTTGATTTTACATAAAGGTTTGTCAATTAACAATTCCAGAAAACAGGTACCTTTTTTTTAGTAGATTGTGAGCCCTTGTTAGGAAAAAAAATTACATGTCTCCAATAATTCTCAAACTTTGCTATATGCCATTCCACATTACTGCATTTTCTGTGGACTCTTTTGATCTCTAAAAGCACTATCTTGCAGATTCATGCAGAGATACAATATTGATAAGCCCCATGACATCCTGACTGATAGTACATACCTCAAAAGACTTTAATAAGAAAAACATCATTCTTTGAGGAGCATTTGGAATTTATCATAAGGAATTAATTTATAAGTCTGCTACCTTCATTGGAGAATATTTCCTCTACCAGGGTATAAAGCAGAGATATGTGTGTACCCTTCAATGACAGGGAACAGGAATGACATCAGTCCTTGAAGTCAGTCTCCTTCTTCAGAGCTCACAGTCCTGAGACATGGCATCTTGACTGTGAAAACCAGGCATTGGATATTATGCAAGAGATAGAATTAGCATAGCCAAAATGATGGGCGGAAAGTAAGGTCACCTGATCCTACAGGGTCTTTCTTCACCATCTTTCTTTTTTTTTTTTGAGATGGAGTCTCACTCTGTTGCCCAGGCTGGAGTGCAATTGCACTGTCTCAGCTCAGTGCGACCTCCGCCTCCCAGATTCAAGCAATTCTCCTGCCTCAGCCTCCTGAGTATCTGAGATTACAGGCACCTGCCACCATGCCCAGCTAATCTTTACATTTTTAGTAGAGACAGGGTTTCACCTTGTTGGCCAGGCTGGTCTCGAACTCCTGACCTCGCGATCTGCCCTCCTCGACCTCCCAAAGTGCTGGGATTACAGGCATGAGCCACCATGCATGCCTAGCCTCTTTGCCATCTTTCTAAAATACATGCTGTGTCTCCATTAAGAGTGCTTCTGCTGAGCATGGTAGCTCACGCCTGTGATCCCAGCACTTTGGGGGGCCAAGGTGGGCAGATCATGAGGACAGGAGTTCACGACCAGCCTGGTCAACATAGTAGAACCTCGTCTCTACAAAAGATACAAAAAATTAGCCAGGTGTAGTGGCGGGCATCTGTAGTCCCAGCTTCTTGGGAGGCTGAGGCAGGAGAATTCGCTTGAACCTGGGAGGCAGAGCTTGCAGTGAGCCAAGATCACGCCATTGCACTCCAGCCTGGGTGACAAGGCGAGACTCTGTCAAAAAAAAGAGTGCTTCCTAGGCGAGTCACAGAACCAACCTGAGCAAAGTGATTCCTACGATGTCGCCTTTGGGCTCTTGAATTCTGGGATCTTGTCATCTCCTGTGTGGCCTTCATTCTTTGGTTTCTTCTTTCTTTATTTCCAGGTGGTCTAATGAGGTAGATTACAAGAGCAAATTATTTAAAAGCAGTTTGGGTTATATGCTTGGTTGATAAGTGCACAGTGAAGCGGAAAAGATGATTCACTTCCCCCTAGATTCACACAAAAAAACAACAGATAGAGAAAATGGGCACTGAAACTTTTTTTGCGGCGTTCTATTAACTAGAAATGAGAGCGACCCTGTGACTTAAATAAAGGACAACCAAGAGCACTATTCTCTGTTTTGTTTTTTTCCAAGAAATAGTTCAATTGGGAAGCCATTCCAATGGATAATTAGAAAGGAGGCAGTTGTCAGCATTTGCTAAAATTGAAATAATAATAAACATTCTTATATATCTCCAAATAGACAAAGACTTTGTTTTTACCAAACCTGGCTTTTTCAAGTCTGCCCTAGCATTTCCCCCAAGGTTGTACTTTCTGTAGATTTCACTGGTGCTCTTGAGTGCAGCAGAGATGCAAAATGCATTTTTTTGTTTGGCTCACTAATTCATACATCATGCAAATTAGTTGTGAATGATGATTTATCAACAGCCTTATCAACCACACTTGGTAATTCTCGCTGTACATTGAGAATAAATGTAAACCATCTTATTCATGTACATTTTATGACAAATTGTCGTTCCAAGAGCTGTTGCTCTCACATTCTCTCATTTGAAGAGACCTTTAAACTTTTCCAAAGTACTTTCCCATCTTGCTGTGGACACAAGATCCTAACAGACTTTTAGAGATAGGTATTAATACCCCCATTTTACAGAGAGGTGCTCAAATTGTACTGTGTTATTGTGATTGGTCATAGAACGCAGCACTGCGTCTTTGTTGGTTTTTTTAGGCTGGGTATCACTTAGCTGACTTTTAGTTCCGTGTTCATGTTAGCTATACCAATAAAGTCAGGTGCTAAGATAGGCAAAAGAAGTATTATTTAAAAAAAAAAGGCCGGGCGCAGTGGCTCACGCCTGTAATCCCAGCACTTTGGGAGGCCGAGGCGGGTGGATCACGAGGTCAAGAGATCAAGACCATCCTGGTCAACACGGTGAAACCCCGTCTCTACTAAAAATACAAAAAATCAGCTGGGCATGGTGGCGCATGCCTGTAATCCCAGCTACTCAGGAGGCTGAGGCAGGAGAATTGCCTGAACTCAGGAGGCGGAGGTTGCGGTGAGCCGAGATCGCGCCATTGCACAGCCTGGGTAACAAGAGCAAAACTCCGTCTCAAAAAAAAAAAACAAAAAACAGGGCTGGGTACAGTGGCTCACTTCTGTTATCACGACACTGGGAAGTTGAGGTAGGAGGATTGCTTGAACCCAAGAGTTTGAGACCAGCCTTGGCAACATACTGAGATCCCTTCTCTACAAATAATGAAATCTGAGCCAAGTGTGTGGAATGCACCTGTAGTCCCAACTACTTGGGAGGCTAAGGTGAGAGGATCGCTTGAGCCTGGGAGGTTGAGGCTGCAGTTAGCGGTGATCACACCACCGCACTCCAGCCTGGGTGACACAGTGAGAACTTGTCTCAAAAAACCAACCAACCAACCAACAAAAAACCCCAAAGAAAATGGAATACATAGATAAGAAATGTAATTTATTTTTATAAGTACTTTTTTTGAGATTATTCGGTAAAAATATCTCGAAGCAGGAGTATCTGATGAAGGAGTAAAAATAGTATATGATTAACTTAAAATAATGCCTTTTCATAAGTAAGTAATGCAGAACAGAACAAGAAAGATCAGCAGGGGAGATAGGAATTAGGGATGAGAATGTGATGTGCAAATAGCTTACCTATATCTCATGGTCTACAAATTTGGATAGACGGTGATTTGAATTCTAACAACGTGGGAACAGGGAATGGGGGAGAACCCAAGCTTCACAACTTTTACTGTGCCTGGGTGACAGAAGCTGTAAGCCCCAAGAAGACTCAGTGCCATGTCCTGTCTCTTGTGTAAACCAAAAATAAAGACCAAAGCCAAGTAGAAAACAAAAGCTATGT